CTGCCTCAGCCTCAGCCTGCCTCAGCCTCAGCCTCAGCCTGCTCAGCCTCAGCCTCAGCCTGCTTCTGCCTCAGCCTCAGTCTGCCTTCAGCCTCGGCCTCAGCCTCCGCCTGCCTCAGCCTGCCTCAGCCTCAGCCTGCATCAGCCTCAGCCTCAGCCTCAGCCTGCCTCAGCATCAGCCTGCCTCAGCCTCAGCCTCAGCCTGCCACAGCCTCAGCCTCGGCCTGCTTCAGCCTCAGCCTCAGTCTGCCTTCAGCCTCGGCCTCAGCCTCAGGCTGCCTCAGCCTCAGCCTGCATCAGCCTCAGCCTGCATCAGCCTCAGCCTCAGCCTCAGCCTGCCTCAGCATCAGCCTGCTTCAGCCAGCCTCAGCCTGCCTCAGCCTCAGCCTCAGCCTCAGCCTGCTTCAGCCTCAGCCTCAGTCTGCCTTCAGCCTCAGCCTCAGCCTCAGCCTCAGCCTCAGTCTGCCTTCAGCCTCAGCCTCAGCCTCAGCCTGCCTCAGCCTCAGCCTGCATCAGCCTCAGCCTCAGCCTCAGCCTGCCTCAGCATCAGCCCTCAGCCAGCCTCAGCCTGCCTCAGCCTCAGCCTCAGCCTGCTTCAGCCTCAGCCTCAGTCTGCCTTCAGCCTCGGCCTCAGCCTCAGCCTCAGCCTCAGCCTCAGCCTCAGCCTCAGCCTCAGCCTCAGCCTCAGCCTCAGCCTCAGCCTCAGCATCAGCCTGCCTCAGCCTCAGCCTCAGCCTCAGCCTCAGCCTCAGCCTCAGCCTCAGCCTCAGCCTCAGTCTGCCTTCAGCCTCGGCCTCAGCCTCAGGCTGCCTCAGCCTCAGCCTGCATCAGCCTCAGCCTCAGCCTGCCTCAGCATTCAAAATGTGGCCCGGGAATGGAGTTCTGGGAACTCGAAGAACACGAAGTGGCCTACAGTTGGCTCCGGGCATTCAAAATCAAGCCCAGGAATGGCGTTCTGGGAATTCGAAGAGCACGAATTGGCCTACAGTTGGCTCCGGGCATTGAAGATGTAGCCTGGGAGTGGCGTTCTGGGAGCGCCAAGAGCGATTTTGCGAGGATGTCCCAGGCGATTTGGGCTCCGACGGCAGCCGCCGGATTCTGTCCGGGTTCCGCCCAGACCCCCCTGAGGAGTCATGATGCTCTCTTTTGACCTTACTAGAAACCTATCAGTCTTCGTTGTTAGGTAATTCTGAGAAAAAACAGAATGCACCGGTGATGGGGGGATCAACAGTAATTATTTTTTCAGAAGTGAGAGTTCAATCCGCACCGCTGAACCTCACTTCAGCCACGCGCCCAGGGACAGCGAAGGACCACTCGGCCCCCTCATTCTGACAAGAATTCCAGGTTGTTGGATGATTTGGGTCCCGTAATCTGGCTCTCAGGGCCCTCAAAACTTCCGAATGGACTTGCGTTATGTCCCCAAGACGGTGCATTGGACATGCTGGATGCTGGAATTCCACACGACAGTTCCCAGGGGAGACCACACAACCAAGGCCCAAGAGGAGGGCTACTCATCTTTTCAATCGTTTATTGGCTCGGGGGAGTTTCCCCCGAACGCCAATCCACGGGCCAGCGCCGGCTTGCCGCAGGTCACATGATGGTGAGGGCGAGGCACTGCGGGTTTGCACCATTTCCTTTCTAGAAAGAGAATAGACTCTACCCCCCCCGGACTTAACGCTTCCACCTGGGATAGTATAGTGATATATATATATATATATATATATATATTCTGCACATTCTTCCATCCTAAATATGAAATCACACCATCCCAGCTAGGCCGGGTTCCCCCCTCTGAGGTTCCCTTGTGAGAAACACTATGCGGTGACATTTCTTGCTCTAACATAGCACTTTTTCAAGAATCCCTTGCAAAGAATGAGACGAAGTGCGCACGCGCGCGTCGTCGCGCGCGCATGTCGAAATCCTTCAAAAACCTTCGGTGCCGGAAGGATTTCGCAATCGAGTTTCCAAAAAGCATGCAAAAACACAGAGTTTCGCAACACTTATTTGCTAAAAAAGCTTCCGCGCGAGCTCTTGCGAAATCTTAAGAAAACCATAGGTTTTTCAAGATTTTCACAAAATACTACCAAACGGGCGTCGCGCGCGCTCATGTCGAAATCTGTCGAACGCCCTTGCGCGTGTGTCGTCGCGAGGATCCCCTGCAAAAAACCTTCAAAACCCATCGGTTTCGGAAGGATTCAAAAATCGTGCGTCCAAAAAACATACAAAAACCCAAGTTTTCGCAACACGGATTTTCAACAAAAGCGTGCGCGCGCGCTCTTGCGTCGTCGTCGTCGTCGTCGCCGTCCTCCATCCTCCCGCGTCGTTGTCGTCGTCGTCGCCTACGTCGTCCTCTGTCTTTCCTCGTGTTCGTCGTCGTCGTCCTCTTTGGCGTCGTGGTCGTTTCCGTCGTCGTTGTCGCCGTGGTCGTCCTTCCTCCTCCTCCCTCGTCGTCGTCGTCGTCCGTCGTCGGCGTCTCGTCGTCGTCCCTCCTATTTTTCGTCGTCGTCGTCGTCGTCGTCGTCGTCGTCGTCGTCGTCGTCTTCCTCCTCCCTCGTCGTTGCCGTCGTCGGCGTCGCCGTCCTTCCTCCTTCTTCGTCGTTCGCGTCGTCGCCGTCCTCCCTCCTCACTCGTCGTTGTCGTCGTTGTCGCCGTCGTCGTCCTCCCTCCTTCCTAGGTGTCTTCGGTGGCGACGTCGTCGTCGTCTTCGTCGTCGTCGGCGTCGTTGTCGTCTTCGTCGTCGTCGACGTCGGCGTCGTCGTCGTCGCCGGCGTCGCCGTCGTCGCCGTGGTCGTCGGCGTCGGTGTCGTCGTTATAGTCGTCGTCGGCGTCGTCATCGTCGTCGTCGTTGTCATCGTCGTCGTCGTCGGCGGCGTCGGTGTCGTCGTCGTCGTCGTCGGTGTCGTCGTCGTCGTCGTCGTCATTGTCGTCGTCGTCGTCGTTGTCGTCGTCGTCGTCGTGTCGTCGTCGTCGTCTTCTCTCCTCCCTCGTCGTTGCCGTCGTCGGCGTCGCCGTCCTTCCTCCTTCTTCGTCGTTCGCGTCGTCGCCGTCCTCCCTCCTCCCTCGTCGTTGTCGTCGTTGTCGCCGTCGTCGTCCTCCCTCCTTCCTCGTTGTCTTCGTTGGCGACGTCGTCGTCGTCTTCGTCGTCGTCGGCGTCGGCGTCGTTGTCGTCGTCGTCGACGTCGGCGTCGGCGTCGTTGTTGTCGCCGCCGTCGCCGTCGTCGTCGTCGTCGCCGTCGTCGGCGTCGTTGACGTCGTCGTCGCCGTCGGTGTCGTCGTTATCGTCGTCGTCGGCGTCATCGTCGTCGTCGTTGTCATCGTCATCGTCGTCGGCGTCGGTGTCATCGTCGTCGTCGTCGGTGTCGTCGTCGTCGTCGTTGTCGGCGTCGTCGAAGTCGTTGGAGACGTCGTCGGTGTCGTCGTAGTCGTTGTCGGCGGCGTCGTCATCGTCGCTGTCGCTGTCGTCGTCGGCGTCGCAGTTGTTGCCAAGTGCCATGTGGTACCCACCGTCACGGTCTTAAGAGATTTTGCAAACCAATTTGCGGGTGGGTGGGTGGGATGTTTGCGCGAGCAGTGGAGTGGACAACTCACTGCGAATAGAAATTATTTGCACCTCATAGATTACACCATCATATAGCTTGAATCACATGCATCCCCAGGCCGAAGGTTTTCCGCTTGCGTGAGAGCTTGGATACAATTGGAACCATTTTTCGTTTGAGCTAGAGAGTATTTGTATACAATACACCCCGCAACTGCGGATAAGAGTGGGAGGCGGCAAGGTCGTCGTCAGTTCGCGAAGCTGTGAAGAAGACGGCCGCAGCCCGCCGCAGGGGCCGATTGTTTCGTCAAGGCAACATGGGTGCGTCACGGACGGATCGCGGGTGGGTCTCAGTGTGGGTCGCGGGGTGTTTTGCGGAGTGGTCGCGCCGCGGGGTGGATCGCGGGCAGTTCGCGGGCAGTTCGCGAGCGAGGACGACGACAACAACACAACAACGGAGCAACAATCCACACCGCGGAACCCAATTTCAGCCATGCGCCCAGGGACAGTGAATAACCGTTCGGCCCCCTCACTCTGATGTCTATATCGATTTCTGCATCGATGCACTTAGTGTCTGAATACTAAACAAATTACTTAATTAGTCCACCATGCAATCCATGCCAGAGGACCCAAAATGATTGGATCCACGGAGCATTGGATTTGCAGGCCAATGCTAGGATGATATGGGGATGGGTGGCCAGGGCGCGACAGCATGCGTGTGGATGGGACGCAACAGCATGCATTTGATTGCCCGTCGTTGCTCGGGATCCGGTGTGACGTTCGGAGTGATGATTCGCAGTTCGTAGGGCACGGATACGAATACGAAGGGCCACCAAGGACGCGAGGGCATTCCACTACATGCCATAGGCAAGGCGGCGGATCTTCGTGCTTTCTCGGTGTTCTTTGTGGCGGCTTCGCAAGCAGGAGTCTTTCGGGCCCAGGGAGGGCCGTGACTTAAGAATCCCTACATGTTTCGGCATGCCTATGCGTGCCTCCACCCACAAATGCAGCACGCTGGCCTTCCCATCTCCGCTTAAAAAGTGGTGGTCCCTCGCGACAGTTCCACCTGAAATTGGCGCCCATCTTGCGAAGGGTGCTTGTCCTCTTTTTTGACGCACTCCTCATCCGCACCTTCCCCCGTAGCCATGCTGGCTCAAGCCGACACCCACGCGTCGCCATGGGTTTCGAGGCCACGTGGCGGGGCGCCGCCCCCCCTGTCGTGGCGGCGCCGCCACTCACGCCGTGCGGCACCGCATGGCTGGCACTGCCGGCGCTCGCCTTGCTTCGGATGGGTCCAGAGGGGGAATCCATAAAGCGGAGAACCAAGCCTGAGATCGGCATTGAGTCGGGCGTGTCCCTCTACAGGAGGCATGTGCAAAAATAGTTGACAAGTAGTTTGGGGACGGTGTTTGGATTATGGTTGGGCTATTATTGGGTTGTTCTTCAACGATTTTGTATTTTTCGTCCAACATCCGCCTGTAGGAGCACATGCCCGACCTAAGATTAGCATGCGCGTGATTCTCAAGAGATACGCAGTCTGTTTAGCATGGATTTTGTGGTGTCGCCCTCGCAGGCGCTCACCACGGGCCGCCGCCACAGCCCGCGGCTGTCGCCTCGTCGGCTCCGAGGAGCGGCAAGGGCAGGGCGAAGCCTCCTGACGTGATATCACGCCTCCTCGACGAGACGGTGGTGCCGAACGTCAGGCACAGGTGTCCTCCTCCTCCTCCTCCTCCTCCTCCTCCTCCTCCTCCTCACCCTTGTCCTCCTCCTCATCCCCCTCCCCCCCCCTCCTCCTCCTCCCCCTCCCCCTCCTCCTCGCCCTCCCCCACCCCTCCCCCTCCCCCTCCCCGGGGAAACGTAAGACTCGAGTAAGCCGAAGCTCGGATCTGCCGACTTTCCTGTTTGACGAGAGCGTCCTGGATTGTGACGGCCCAGTTGTCGTGGGATGTTTTTGCAGCGCGAGCTCGCGTCAAGCTTCAGATTGGGCCTCGTGATTTTTGCGACGGCCCCGTCGGGCCAACCTCAGTCCCCCGTGCCCGAGTCTTGCGTCTCCCCGAAGGTGGGAGGCCTACCTCCGAGGGAGCGAAGCTCTGGAGAGGCTGAGGCGGTCGCAGGCCGTCTACAGGCACGCACGGCCCGGCGACAGTGCGGTGGTGCAGGCGTGCTTCACGACCGCCTTCCTGCGAGAGGGAGAGGGCGCTTTCGCTGTGCTCTCAGACGTGAATATCCAGGCGTTTGTGGACACCTGCCTGGAGCTCTGGCCCATCCTGGAGCCCGAGGTCCGGGAGAGGCTGCTTGAGCTGGCACGGTCAGGGCAGCTCAGGCACAGGTTATTTGAGAGCTACACGTCCCCCCTGCCTGAGTACCCAGCGAGCGTCTGTGCAGCTGGCGCGCAGCAGATGCAGTGGGAAGAGTTGGAGCATGCCAGCACGCAAGATCGTCAGGACTCGTCACTCTACCGCGCGAAGGGGATATTACCGCTGAGACTGAACAATATTGGACTTGAGCACGTGGCGGCCGCGTTCCAGCGGTCGGAGGTCGCCAAGTTCGATGCCCGACGATTATTGCCACCAGGCGCATTGAACATCACACTCCTGCAGCTGAGCAACATGAATGGCGCCGGCGCCCGCAGCGTGCCGTACAATTCGGGCGCGCTGTTCTCGGACGTAGCGCGCTGCCATACGCCTCTGCTGAATCTGATCCAGAAGTTCCCACGCTGGGGTCCACAATCAGAGCTCGTGGCGTGGACGACTCGAGTGATGATCCCTTGGATGCTGGACCAAGAGTGCCCTCCAGTGAGGTCGCTGTCACAGGTCGGCGAGGCCTCGGTGAATTTCTCGCACGAGGAGATGAGGTGGAGCAGTTTGCACAGACACACGACTGCCACGAACGAGAAGTACAGGACCAGCCACAAAGAGAACAGATCCATCCAGACTGGTGCAATCAGCGCTCGCCGTTTGGCGGGTTTCAAAAATATAGATTTTGCCACATTGTTGGGTATCGGAGAGTTGGTGGAACATGTTCATGCTTTCGTGAGACTAGGGCCGACAGGGGGCTTGTATCACAATGACATGTTCGACAACATCATAGTGCAGGTGTCAACGACGATTGACGTCGTGGTTGTTCCAGCGAACTGCTCCCACTTGGTGACGTCTGAGTCGAGCAGAGCCACAACCATTCTCCCCAGCAAGGGAGGCATCCTGGAGTGGGCCACCCAGGGGATGAGGAGAGGGCAGAGCAAGGTGCCGTTCTATCACTTCAAGCTGCGCCCAGGAGAGGGTGTCGTCCTCCCCAGTGGCGCCGTGCACAACGTATTTGCCCGGAGCCCCCATCGCATCGGACTTCGGGAGGAACATATTTTTTCTCCGGCAAGAAGCGCGCACATGGACAATTGTTGTTTTGATTAAAATCGTACAGAGGCTAGCACAGGAGTGCGACTTGAAGTCCGAATTGGCACGGACACTACAGATCGCCCAGCTCGACTGGGAATGTTGCGAAGAACGCGATGTTCGCGGTGCACGGCAGAGCGCATAAACACGCACGTATAAGTAGATGAACATGCATTACACTATGGCGGCAGGAGGGCCAAAGCAGCATCATCAACGAGCGCAGAGGTCGTCACGATGGATTGCGCATGCGGGGTTTGTTTCACATACGGGAGAGCAAACGGGAGATCATGCGGGAGGCCGTTCGGGAGATCACAGGGGAGATCTTACGGGAGGCCATGCGGGAGAGCATTACAGACAATTTGTAGGAAAGCAGCAGAGTGACATAGGTCAAAAGGTATGGTAATGTATTCTTAACGGGGGAGATCATGCGGCAGACCAGACGGGAGAGCACCCGGGAGACCATACGGGAGATCATACGGAGACCTTACGAGAGGGCAAACGGGACATACGGGAGACCTTACCAATGATTTGACCTGGGACCATGCGGGAGAGCATACGGGAGATCATACAGGAGATTCTACGGGAGGCCATACCGGAGACCATACCGGAGGGCATACGGGAGACCATGTTGGAGACCACGCGGGAGACCGCAGGGACGATCATACGGGAGCACGGGTGGCCGTACGCAAGACAAAGCAGGAGACCGTTCAGGAGGGCATATGGCCAACCATATGTTTGAGACCGTACCGGAGGCCGTGCGGGGGACCTCGCGGGAGATCACATGGGAGCCCGTCTGGGAGATCATCGGGGAGATCATGCGGGAGACCATGCTGCAGAGCATGCGAGAGGGCACCTTGGAAACCATGCGGGAGACCCCACGGGCCACGGGCCACCGCGTCCAGATGTGGAAGTGCCCAGACGTGCCGTATCGTGAGGATATGTAGGGGCCTTTGGAGACATGTTGTCTAGGACGGTAAACAGGACTTTTGCAGGCATGCTCCCTTGGGAAAGTGTGTGTGCTCTTTGGTCTTTGACGACACAGAGGGCATGACTACGCATGCAGGTGTGCATGCGCGTGCACGCTCTTGTACATCCGCTCATGTGTGCACATATGTGTTCGTGTCTTTCAGGATATGTCAATGCGTCCAAACGTGTGGGTAACGTTTAACCACGCTATTGGACCATGCGTTCCCCCCAGCCGTTGTGAAAGCCCGTCGGGAACACGTGGGGGAGGAGGAGGAAGATGAGGAGAGGGAGGAAAAAGAAGGATGAGGAGACCTCTTGGGAGCGTCTTGGGTCATTCTTGGGGCCTCCTGGGAGCTTCCTGGGGCCCTCTTGGAGGCCTCTTGGAGGCCTCCTTGGGCATCTCTGGGGCCTTTGAGGGCTTCTTGGGGGGCCCGTTGGCCGTCTTATAGCGTTTCTGGCCCGTCTGACGCCGTCAGAAGCCGTCTTGGGGGCCTCTCTAGGTCGTTTTGAGGCCCTCTTGGGGCGCTTCAGGGTCTTCTTGAAGGCCAGCTTGGGCTTCTTGGAGGCATTTTGGGCAGCCTTGGGGCCCTTCAGGGGCTGTCTTGGGACTCGCTTGGGCCGTCCTGGGGCCAGATTTGAGGCCTCTTGGGCAATCGTGGTGCAATCGTGGGGGCCTCTTGGGCCGCCTTGGGCAGTCGGAAGGCCGTTTTGAAGCAATGCTACATTCCTTCAAAAACCGACGGAACGTCAATGATGTTGACCTCTTCGGGCCGACTTGGGGGACCTCTTGGAGGCCTCGTGGGCCGTCTTAGGAGCCTTTTGTACATTTTTGGGGCCGTCTTGGGCTCTCTTGGTCCATCTTGGCGGTTTGGGAGGCAGGCATCTTGGGACTGTCTCGGAGGCTACCTTGGAGCTATATTGCGTTCTCTTGGGGCCATTTTGCTAGTCTTGGAAGCATCTTGGAGGCCATCTCGGCAGCCTTGGACGCGATTTGGGCAACGGGTTCATTCCAGGTTGCCAGAGGGTTGGGCCGAAGCCCCAGCGGGAGTTTACAGGAACCAAAAACCACCAAAAGTTCGCCACGCCGTAAACCCCTATGGCAAGCCACAGGGGGCGGCGGATCTAGAGGCCATCCGGCCCATCCGCCACCGTGCCTTGGTTGTTGGTCAGAGGCCCCTTGAATGCATATGATGCTTCTTGGGGGCCTCTTGAAGTCATTTGCGGGGCCTCTTGGCGCCCACCTGCAGCTTTTGGGGGGCGTCTGAGGCGCTTCTTTGGGCCTCATGCAGGCATCTGGGGGCTCTTAGGGGGCATCCCAGGGGCCTCTTTGGAGTCTGGCGGTCGCGGGTGTCCTTTTGGGGCGGAGGGCTCGACATGTCAGTTCGGGTTCCCCTTTGGGGGCACTTGTTTTGGCAGTCTTAGAGGCATCTATGGCCGCCTTGGGGCCCTCTTGCGGACCCACTGGGCCGTCTTGTGGCGATTTTGGAGGCCTCTTGGGCCGCCGAGGAGCGCTGGAAGCCCCGAAGGGCGAGAACCCCCAGTCAATCGCATTGGCTCAGAGACCTCAACCACAAATCATGCATGATAAGACACACGGTCGGCACGGCACGGCACGGCAATTGTTCTGGCATTTCGGACGCCAGGCCCGGCCCGGCACCGCACGGATACTTGGCTCGCACCCCCGAGACCAGGCAACGGGACGCGACACAGCACGGCACGACGCCGCTTGCCCGTCTGCAGCCTGCCAACCCGGCACGGCACGCGGGCACTGCACAGCAGCAGCCTCGCGCCCCCGCAGCCGAGCTCCTCCTCCTCCTCCTCCTCCTCCTCCTCCTCCTCCTCCTCCTCCTCCTCCTAGTGCACGGCGCGACGCGCGACGCGCGGGCACGGCACGGCACGGCTCACTTCCGCGCTCCCGGAGCCGAGCACGGCGCACCGGCGGCTCGGCAGGGCAAGCCCTTGCGTTCTCCACGGCAGGCGCGGCGGGGCGCGGCGGGGCACGGCGATGGTCTCGCACGCCCGAGATCTGGCACGGCACGGGACGTGGTCCCGACACGGCACGGGCATCTCTGTGCGCACTACCGAACCGGCGCACGGCACAGCGCGCGGGCACGACACGGCAAGGCTTTGCCTTCGCCTTCGGAAGTCAGGCACGGCACGGCGCGGCAGGACATGGCGTGCGCGCGGTCATCTGAGGGGCACGGCATAGCATTGCATGCTCTGCAGTTTGGAGAACCAGGCACGGCACGGCAATTTTCACGCACTCGGATATCAGACATGGCACGGCAACACACGACACGCGCAATGAGCAACACAACATCACAGAGTTTCCGTAATTGCTGATGTTTCGAGTATCCCCACCAGCAGAGTCACACGACAAGCACCATGCGAGCTGTTTTGACCAGGGATGTGCAGCTGCACGCGGTCACGCTCCGGGAGCCTCTTGCAGCCATCCTGAGGTCATCGTGGGGCCATCTCGGAGGCATTCGGATCCGCCGTTGGGCCCTCTTGGGGGCCTCGTGGGGGCCCATCTTGACGGCCATCAATCAAAGAAGGGGGGTTCTTGATGTCAGCCCCCCCCCTGGGAGGCCGAACAGATCCTTCTTGGGACGATATTTGGGCGCTGTCCCCGGTGTTATTGATAGCAACAACGCCTAAACACATAACTCTTACCGCTGGCGCGAGGTGAGGCGCGGCAGGATGCCGCCGAGGGCCATCGAGCACGCGCTGGCCCCAGCGTCGGTCTCCGACGTCGCGGGGATCAGAATCACTCAACCGTGCGGGGTCGTGGTGTCAGGCCCCTATATGCCGCCACGCTGGTACCGGGCAGGCTGTGCTGTCCGGCGGAAGGGGACGAGGAGGGGAGAAGCAGGCAGACGACGACGAACGGCCAGGCGGGAGGCCAGGGCCGGCGTGGCGGGCGGGCAGGCAGAAGACGGGCCAGGCAGAGACGAAGGTGGGCGCTTTGGGGCGCTCTCGGGCGCATCTGGGTCCCCTATCTAGGGCCTCTCTTGGGCCATCTTGGAGCCATCTTGAGGCCTCAAGAGCCCATCTGAAGCGAAAAGGCGAGAATACAAATTCATGTTGCTGGTGTAGGTGTTGGAAGGATGGTCCTTGGGAGGCCCCATGACCAAATGGAGCCGCCTTGGGATAGTCATGACACCTCTTGGAACCACAATGTAAGCTATGTTGAGCCAGATTGGGCTATCTTGGACGATCTGACGACCCGCGACCAGGCCCATGCAGACCCACGGAGGGGGTAGGTGGAGAGGCAAACTTCTACCCTCGAGGGAAAGAGGAGGTTGGAAGAACGAGCGCTTCAAACCACCTACGCCCCGAGGACAGGTGGGAATTCTTACCCACTTACAGCATTCGCTGTTGATGGGGCAACCGAAGGGTAGATTCCGTGATATCTGACAGTGTGAGGGGTTATCGGGACCCTATTGGCACGTCGTCGGGCCCTCTGGTCTCAGGAAAATCACGCGACAGGCTTCAAGGGGCACGCAAGATCTCCCGATACTTCCGTGAGTTGGGCTCTCAAGCCCCCTAAAGAGTATATGCAATATTCAGTTCTGAGGATTGCGGACTCTTGAGGACCGAAAGACGCCCCACTCTGTGCCTGGCGGCACGGTGACGGATGTAGATGTATATGCACACGCTGAGGTTTATGCAAGTAGACATGCAAACTTATGTACATACATATATATATATTGAGATATATACGTGTACACACATGTCTATATCTATATATACATATATATATATATATATATGCAAGCATGGAATACACAACACGTGGAGCATACAAAAGCAGATGCAGCAGCATCTGCAAAAGGCGAGCCCCGCCCCAAAGGCCACGAGAGCGGCGGGTCGAGGACGCATACGGTGAACCACCGCCGCCCCCAGCTTTTTGGAAAAGCCCGCGCGGCCAAACGCTGGGCCAAAGCCTGGCCAAGCTATTGGACCATGTGCTCCCCCAGCCGTTGTGGACCGCCTTGAGGGAACACCTGGGCGAGAAAGAGAAAAGAGGATGAGAGGGATGATAAGGAGGTCATAGAAGAGGAGGGGGGGTCATAGAGGAGGAGGAGGAGGAGGAGGAGGAGGCGGAGGAAGAGGAGGAGGAGGACGACGAGGAGGAGGAAGAGGAGGAAAGGAGGCCTCTTGAGGCCGTCGTGTGGCTTCCTTAGGGCGTCCTGCAGCCTCTTGGGGGCCTCTGAAGGGCCTCGCGGGGGCTTCCTTGGGCCTCTTGGGGGCCTATCGTGGTCTCGTGGGGGCTTCCTGGGGCTTCTTGGGGGCCTCCAAGGGATCTCTTGTCCTTCGGAGGCAGTCTTTGGGGCCTCTCTAGGCAGTCGTGGGTTCGTCTTTGAGCGCTTTGGGAACGTATTGGAGGTCTGTGGGGCCATCTTGGGGGCCTCTGGTCCGTCTTGGGGCCCTCTTGGGTCGTTTTGCCGGCCTCTTGGGAGCCTCTTCACCGCATTGGGGCGATCTTGGGTACATGTGGGGGGCCGTCTTGGAGCGGCGGAAGCCCGAAAAGGCCAGAACACCGACAATGCTTTGAAAAAAGCCTGGCGAAGGACCCAACCATATGCAGTTGTGAGAACCCTCGTTGTATGCACCGCAGTCGGAGAAGCTTCTTATATGGCCAGAAACTTGTGAGGGTGTGCTAAAAATTGTCCGGTGGGCGCACGTGAAAGCAGCCACTTGGGCCGTCGGAGGAATTACCGATGGGGCCACGAAACGCGTGGGCGGTGTGCCGAAATAGGTGCGGTGGGCGCATGCGAACGCAGCCACTGGGGCCGTACCGAAATGGGTGCGGTGGGCGCATGCGAACGCAGCCACTGGGGCCTTCGGTGGAGCTCCCTATGGGGCCACGAAACGTGTGAGGGGTGTGACGAAATGGGTGTGGGCAACGTATGCGGGCGGTGGCACTGGGGCCTTCGGTGGAGCCCCCTTAAGGGGCCGCGAAACGTGTGAGGGGTGTGCCGAAATGGATGTGGGTAACGCATGCGGGCGGTGGCACTGGGGCCTTCGGTGGAGCCCCCTATGGGGTCACGAAACGTGTGCGGGGTGTGCCGACATGGGTGTGGGTAGCGCATGCGGGCGGTGGCACTGGGGCCTTCGGTGGAGCTGCCTATGGGGCCGCGAAACGTGTGAGGGGTGTGCCGAAAAGTGCGTCGATAACGCATGCGGGCGGTGGCATTGGGGCCTTCTGTGGAGCTCCCCATGGGGCCACGAAACGTGTGAGGGGTGCGCCGCCATGGGTGTGGGTAACGCATGCGGGCGGTGGCACTGGGGCCTTCGGTGGAGCTCCCTATGGGGCCACGAATCGTGTGAGGGGTGTGCCGAAATGGGTGTGGGTAACGCATGCGGGCGGTGGCACTGGGGCCTTTGGTGGAGCTACCTATGGGGCCGCGAAGCGTGTGAGGGGTGTGCCGAAATGGATGTGGGTAACGCATGCGGGCGGTGGCACTGGGGCCTTCGGTGGAACTCCCTATGGGGCCGCGAAACGTGTGAGGGTGTGACGAAATGGATGCGGGTAACGCATGCGGGCGGTGGCACTAGGGCTTTCGGTGGAGCTCCCTATGGGGCCGCGAAACGTGTGAGGGGTTTGCCGAAATGTGTGTGGGTAACGCATGCGGGCGGTGGCACTGGGGCCTTCGGTGGAGCTCCCTATGGGGTCACGAAACGTGTGAGGGGTGTGCCGACATGGGTGTGGATAACGCATGCGGGCGGTGGCACTGGGGCCTTCGGTGGAGCTCCCTATGGGGCCACGAAACGTGTGAGGGGTGTACCGAAATGTGTGTGGATAACGCAAGCGGGCGGTGGCACTGGGGCCTTCGGTTGAGTTCCCGATGGGGCCACGAAACGCTGTACTGGGCGGTTGAAACGCAAGGAGGAAGGAGGAGGGGGAGGAAGGGGAGGAGGAGGGAGGAGGAGGAAGGAAGGAAGGAAGGAAGGAAAGAGGAAGGAACGCGGGGACCGTCTTTGCAAAACGATGACCCCAACACCACAGGATGGTTGGGAAGAAAAGAATGAACTAATGGACACCAGTGATTTGGGCATCATGGAGTCCTCTTGGAGGCCCCTCGGACCGTCTTGGAGACCTCTTGTGGACCTTTTTGGTAATCTTGGAGTCATTTTGAGCCGACTTGGTGTCATCTTAGCCGTTTTGGGGGCGTCTTGGCGACCATCCTGAGCACTTGACCGTCTTAGAGATCATCTTGGAGGCCATCTTGGGGCCATCTTGGGGGGCAAAACCCACGGAGGACACTTTTTTCGGGTGGCCCGCTGGCTGGGCCAGAAGCCAGTGGAGACTTTTCAAACAATGTTTTAACATTCAAAAGCACTGAAGGGTACCCCTTTTGATAAACCAGCAGGGGGCGGATCGAAGACCCCTACGGCGAATCACCGCCGCCCCCTGTCTTTTGGAAGCGCCTAGGTCGCCGAACGTTGCGGCCAGAGCTCGGCCAAGGTATCGTATTATGTTTCCCCCAGCCGAAGTGGAAACCCTTCGGGGAACACATTGGGAGGAAAAAGGAGGAGGAGGAGGAGGCCTATTGGGAGCCTCTTGGGGCACTGTTGGGGCCTCTTGGGAGCTTCCTGGGGGGCCTGTTGGATGCCTCTTGGGGCCTTCCTTGGGCCTCTTGGGGGCCTTCGGGGCTCCTTGGGGGCTCCTTGGCAGTCTGAGGGCGTTCCTGGCCCGTCTGACGCCGTTGGGAGTCGTCTTGATGGCTGGGCCGACTTGGAACCCTCTTGGAGCACTTCAGGGCCGTCTTGGAGACAATCTTGGGCGTCTTGGGGGTCTCCTGGGCCGTCTTGGGACCGTCTTGGGAGCCTCTTGGGCCATCAAGGGGGCCATCTCGGAGGCCATCTTGGGCGTTTTTTGTGGTCATCTTGGTGGCATCTTGGCCCGTGTTGGGCCCCATCAGAAAGCCGAAAGTGAGGAAAAGCCCAACTCGATCGAAAACCATTGAGAATCAATCATGTTGGCCTCTTCGGGCCTTCCAGGAGGTCCGCTTGGAGGCATCTTGGGCCGTCTCGGAGGCCTCTTAGGCGATCTTGAGTCCATCTTGGGCCATCTTGGGGGCATCTCGGCCCGTCTTGGAGACATCTCGGCGCCATCATGGGCTCTATCGGGGCCATGGTAGCCGTCTTGGCGACCGTCTTGGCCGTCTTGGAGGTCATCTTGGGGGCGTCTCGAGCGGGAAGGCCGATGACCCGAGCATTTGGCGGAGCTTTCCGGGTGGCCCGCGGGTTGGGCCAAAGGCCCACCAAGAACCTTTAGAACGGGCCAGAAACTACCTAACGTCTGGCACGCCGTGCACCCCTGTGGCAAGCCGACAGGGGGCCGGTGGATCTAGGGGCTATCGGCCACTTTGCTTGGCTCGGGGCCAGAGTCCTTTCGGATGCCTTCTGGGGGATCTTTGGAATATCGCTGGGGGGCATCTGGGAGGCCTCGTAGTGCCTCTTGAGGGCCTATTGCGGACCTCTTGGAGACCTCTCAGGGCATCTTGGAAGCCTCTTGGAGGCCATCTTGGGGGGAAGGGCTCGAAATGTCAGTTCGGGTTCCCCCTCTCTTGGGCCCATCTTAGAGCCGTCTTGGGGCCCTCTTGGCCCCTCTTGGGGACTCTTGGGCAGTCTTGGACAGTCTTGGGGCGATATGGGCCTTTTGCGCCCGTGGACGGTCGCAAGACAAAAACACCTAAGTGTGCGAAAATTGCTCACACCAACAGAGAGTGATGAGTAATTGTTGCGTCTTGGTCCGGCCCTGAGGGCTCTCAAGCTCTAAAGTCTGTTAATGCGTTTGGGGGGATACAGGAAAATATGCATTCAACAAGTAGCGCTCTCAAAGGATACCCTGAAAGCCAAATGCGGTCGTGCGATTGCTTTTCCTCTCAGGACTGAGTGCCTTCATGGAGCCGAAGTTCGGCAAGATGCAATGGGGCTCCTCGGCGCCAGCGGGCGCGTTCGGGAGAGCTGATCGAGGCTACCTTGCGGCCCGAAGCGTCGCCGTGAGAGTTCTGAAGAAGCTCTGGGAACGTCGGCGCCTGGGCATGTTCTGGCACACAGCCCGGCTGGAGTTGATCTGATCAGTCGGGGAATGGCGTGGCCCAGTCCGAAGAGTTTCTCGATTCCGGCAGCAGCAGCTTCGGGCGACGACAGTCCGACCTAGCGCAAGGCCTTGAAGTTACAGAAGATTGCCATCAGTCGGCGGCGGATTGTCTGAACGGGCCGCTGCGAGTTCACACGGATCGCCGCGATCGCCGTACGCACACGAGATGCCCACATGTTTATTACCATTGGTTGGGCTGATTTCAGCACCTCGCCTTGCCACGTCGTAGGTATTCATCGCGGTGTTGAAGATTGTGGTAGTTCGCGTGGTGTTTGAGATCGTTTTCCATACGGGCAGCACAAAGAGATTGTATGGTTGGATTGGACTTGGCGATCGGCACACAACTCTCAAGTTGTGTTGTTGTTCTCGCTCCTCGCTAGTCCCGCGTGCCAGATTTCGTGGTCGGGCCTCGGAACGTTAGTTGCACATTTCTCTCGCTGCATGATGCTTCTCGAGCAACGATACGACATCTCGCGACAACTGTTGCGTTTAAATGTCTGGACAGCCACAAAGCAAGTGCACAAAGAGACCAAACATGAAAGTAAGCTGGCATCGCTCGTCAACGCGAGTGGGCTTGGTACAAGACGAAGACATACAGCCCAGCGGGATTCCCAATGAACCCAGCATGGAGCCAATGTTCGACGTGTTCGAGAGCTTCGGCGCGCCCGAGGCTCCCAAGACTCTCGAAGCACTTGACATGAGTATACGCCGTTGATTACCCTTGCATCGGCAACACCCATGTCGCATTCAGCGTGCCGACGCCTAGTTCTCTGACGCGATTTATGTTCATGCGAGTGGTGGACACTGTGCCGAGTTCTTTTCTGAGCTGCCTCAACACTGTCGGGTGCGGCCAAGAGGGGGGTGAAGACCAGGGGGGGGGGATGTCATGGCCAGGGCCATGACATCTCCCCAGGTGTCATGGCCCCTGTTCTTACTTCCATGCGTCCCCTGCCCCCCCCCCCTGGTCCGCGCACGTGCCTCGGGCCATGGTTTGCACCCCCCCTCCTGGACGCCCCCCTCGTGGACGCCCCCGGTGCTGAGTACGAATGCCTAGCAGTGTCGACGACGCCCACGGCGAACCGCCGCCTCCCCCCTGCCTTTTGGAAGCGCCTGTGGCCGAACGCTGTGGCCAGAGCGCTCGGCCACGGCGTCGGACTGTGTTCCTCTAGCCTGTTGCGGAAAATTTTCGGAGAGAAACACTTTGGGAAGGAAGGGGAAGAGGACGAGAGAGAGGAAGAAGGTTAGGTCGGGTATCCCCCCCATCCAGGCGGATTTTGGAGGAAAAACTAAACATACCCCAACAATATTCAAAACAAATCAAAATACACAAAAATCGTCCCCATACCATGTTTGACTATTTGTGAACATTTCTTCTGTAGAGGGACAGGCCCGACTTAAGAATAAGTAGAGGAAGGATAAGGAGGAAGAAAAAGAAGATGAGGAGGAGGAGGAGGAGGAGGAGGAGAAGGCGTCTTGGGAACTTTCGGGGCACTCTTTGTGCTTCCTGGGCGCCTCCGGGGGGCCTCTTTGGAGGCCTCTTGGAGGCTTCCTTGGGCCTCGCTGGGGCGGGCGTTGCGCAGCTGTCGCTCGTCATTGGCGTTCCTGGCCAGTCTGACGCCGTCGGAAGCTATCCTGGGGGGCCTATCAGGGCCGACTTGGGGCCCTCTTGGGGCGCTTCAGGGCCGTCTTGGAGGCCATCTTTGGCGTCGTGGAGGTCACCCGGGCCGTCTTGGGGCCATATTGGGTGCTTCTTGAGCCGTCAGGAAGCCATTTTGCAGGTCTCGTGGAAGCTCTTGGGGCCATATCAAGGGGGCTCTTGGGTCGTCGGAGGCCGTCGGAACTCAGAAAAAGGAACAAACGCAACATTCGTTCAATAACCAACAGAAGATCATGGATGTTGGCCTCCTCTGGCCTTATTGGAGGTCCTCTTAGAGGTCCCTTAGACAGTCTTGAAAGCCTCTCAGGCCGTCTTGGGCCATTTTGAGATCATCTTGGGCCATGCTCTGGGCATCCTGGGCCGTCTTGGAAGCATATTGTGGCCATCTTGGGTCATCCGGGGTGCAGCTTAGCCGTCTTGGGCGAACTTGGAGGTCATCTTGTGTCATCTTGGCCATCTTGGAGGCGGCGCTGTGCAGACCTCTGGAAGTCTTGGACGCGGTGGCGGGGTGGGCCGAAGCCCACTCAGAGTTCTTCAGAAAAGAAGCACAACCCATCCCGAAGTCTGGCACGCCGTGCACCCCTGTGATGAATCACAAGGGGGCGGCGGATCGAGGACGCCTACGGCGAGTCACCGCCGCCCCCTGCCTTTTGGAATCGCCCGTATGGCCGAGCGTTGTGGCAAGAGCTCTGCCAAGCTATCGGACCACGTGTCCCCCCAGCCGTAGTGGAAAGGATGGCGGGGAAGGTCAGGAGGAGGAGGAGGCAAACGGAGGAGGCATCTTGGGAGCCTCTGGGTGCCCACTTGGGGCCTCCTGGTAGCTTCCTGGGAGCCGCTTGGAGGCATCTTGGGGGCCTGCGTCGGAAGCCGTCTTGGGGGCCTCTCTGGGCCGACTTAAGGCCATCTTGGGGCGTTTCAGGGTCGTCTTGAAGGCCATCTTGGGCGCCTTGGAGGCCTCTTGGGCAGCCTGGGGGCCCTTTAGGGGCCGTCTCTGGAATCTTGTAAGTTTTTCTGGCGCCATCTGTGAGACTTAGTGGGCAAGATTGGGGCATCGTGGGGGCGTCTTGGGCCGCCTTGGGCAGTCGGAAGGCAGTTTTGACGCAAATGCCATTATCCTTCAAAAACCTTCGAAGCATCAATAATTCTGGCCTCTTCTGGCCTTCCTAGAGGCCCCTCTTGGGGGCCTCTGGGGCCGTCTTGGAGACCTCTTGGGGGCCTCTTTGGAGCGCCTCGGAGCGTCTTGGGCCATATTGCCATATTGTGCCGTCTTGATGGGCTCCTGGCCCGTCGGAAGCCGTCGGAAGCCGTCTTGGGGGCCTCTCTGGGCCGACTTGGGGCCCTCTGGGGGTGCGCCAGGGCCGTCCTGGAGGCCATCTTGGGCGTCTTGGAGGCCTCTTGGGCCGTCTTGGGGTTCCTTTTGGCCGTCTAGGGTGCCTCTTGGGCCGTTCTGGGACCATTTTGGATGCCTCTTGGGCGATCTTTGGGGGCACTTGGGCTGTCTCGGGCCGTCGGAAGGCCGAACAAACAGCAAATGCTACAATCCTTCAAAAACTCATGGGAAATCAATGATGTGGGCCTTTACGGGCCTTCTTGGAGGCCCTCTTGGAGGCCTCTTGGGCCGTCTTGGGCTATGTTAGTGCCAGCGTCGGCCGTCTTGGTGGGCCCCGGCCCCGTCCGACGCCGTCGGAAGCCTTTGGGGGGGCCTCTCTGAGCCAACTTAGGGCCCTTTTGGAATGCTTTAGGGCCGTGTTGGATGCCATCTTGGTGGTCTTAAAAGCCTCCTGGGCCGTCTTGGGGGCCTCTTGGGGTCGTCTAGGGGGCCTCTTGGGCAGTCCTGAGGCCATCTTGGAGGCCTCTTCGGCGCTGTGGGGGCGATCTTGGGGGCCTCTTGGGCCGTCTTGGGTCGTCGGAAGGCCGAGAAGAAGCGAACGCCAAATCCTTCAACACCTAAGGAACATCCATGATTTTGTGGCCTCTTCGGGCCCTCCTGGCGGCCCTCTTGGAGGCCTCTTGGGCCGTCTTGGAGGCGCTGCGAGCAAACTTCGGCCATCTTGGTGGGCTCCTGGCCCGTCTGACGCCGTCGGAAGCCGTTTGGGGGGCCTTTCTGGGCCGACTTGGGGCCCTCTGGGGGTGCGCCAGGGCCGTCTTGGAGGCCATCTTGGGCGTCTTGGAGGGAGGCCTCTTGCGCCGTCCTGGGGTTCCCTTGGGCCGTTTTGGGTGCCTCTTGGGCCGTTCTGGGACCACTTTGGAGGCCTCTTGGGCGATCCTGGAGGCCTCGTGGGCTGTCGGGCCGTCGGAAGGTCGAAAAGAAGCAAATCCCATCATCTGAGGGAAATCCATGATGTTGGCCTCTTCGGGCCTTCCTGGAGGCCGTCTTGGGGGCCTCTTGGGCCGTCTTGGAGACCTCTCGGAGCGTCTTTGGCCATCTTAGAGCCATTGGGGCCGTCTTGATGGCCTCCTGGCCCGTCTGACGCCGTCGGAAGTTGTCTTGAGGGCCTCTCTGGGCCGACTTGGAGCCCTCTTGGAGTGCTCCAGGGCCGTCCTGGAGGCCATCCTGGGCGTCTTGGAGGCATCGTGGGCCGACTTGGGGCCCTCTTGGGGACGTCTTGGGGGCCTCCTGGGCCCTTCTGACACCATCTTGCAGGCCTCTCGGGCGACCTTGGGGCAATATTTGGGGGCTCTTGGGCCGTCCCGGGCCGTCGGAAGGCCGGAAAGAAGCAAATGCCAACATCCTCCAAATACATATGGAAATCAATGCATTTGGCTAATTTGGCCTCTTCGGGCCTTCCTAAAAAACATTTTGGAGGCCTCTCGGGCCTTCTTGCAGGCCTCTTTGGGGCGTCTCTGAGCGTCTTGGGCCATCATGGATCCAGCTGGGCCGTCTGGGCGGCTTCTTGGGCGGGCTTGAAGGTATATTGGGCCCTCTTGGGACGTCTTGGAGGTCATCTTGGACCTTCTTGGGCAAACTTGGGAGCCATCTTGCCCTCTTGGAGGCCACCTTGAGCCGTCTTGGAGATTTGTTTGCGCACGTTGTGCTCGTTTCGGGTCCCTTCCGGATGGCCGGCGGGACGGGCCGAAGCCCCCGGGGGTGTTTTTTTGGAAAGAGAACCAAACCGCAAGAAGTTCAGCATGCCAGGCACCTTTGTGGCAAGACCACACGGGGCGGCGGATCGAAGACGCCTACCGCGAATCACCGCCGCCCCCTGCCTTTTTGGAAGCGCCTATGTGGCCAAACGTTGAGGCTAGACCTGCCAAGCTATCGGACCATGTGTTCCCCGAATCGGTTTGGAAAGCCTTCGGGGAACACGTGGGCCTCTTGAAGGTCATCTTGGCCGTCTGGAGGCCATTTTGACCCTGTCGGGCCTTCTTGGAGGACGTCTTGGAGGGCTCTTGGGCAGTCTTGGAGGCCATCTTGAGCGTCTTGGAGACCTCTTCGGCCGTCTTGAGGACCTTCTGGGGCAGTCTTGGGCCTCTTGGGCGATCTTTGGGGGCACTTGGGCTGTCTCGGGCCGTCGGAAGGCCGAACAAAAAGCAAATGCCACAATCCTTCAAAAACTCATGGGAAATCAATGATGTGTGCCTTTACGGGCCTTCTTGGAGGCCCTCTTGGAGGCCTCTTGGACCGTCTTGGGCTATGTTAGTGCCAGCTTCGGCCGTTTTGGTGGGCCCCGGCCCCGTCCGACGCCCTCCGAAGCCGTTTGGGGGGCCTCTCTGAGCCATATTAGGGCCCTCTTGGAATGCTTTAGGGCCGTGTTGGAGGCCATCTTGGGTGTCTTGAAAGCTTGTTGGGGCCGTCTTGGGGACCTTTTGATCGCGGAATTCAATGCAACGCACGACCAAAAGTATAGAGAGAGCGGCACGCGCGCTGGATGCTTGAGTTTTGTATGTTTCCCCCCCCGAAATTTGTGTGTGGCTCCAGACCTTAAGTAAACAAAGTTCCCTTCATAATGAAACCATTGAAAGTCCGCACCGCAAATTCGCCGTCAAACGCAGAGATTTATTACCGAACGGGGTCGCTTTTGAAGACAATCGTGCAAGTTTCGATCCAGATCGTATACCCGATTATACAAGCGTTGGAATGAATATATATATATATATAGACTTTACCGTCGCACGTTACGATAGCAAATGACCGCATGGCGTCCTCGAGTTCCCGCATCAAACCGCGATGTGGATTTGGAGGGTGAGCCCAAAAGCGAGCGGGAGGTTCCGGTGGAACAGGTAGGTGTTGGGATAATCAGGGAGGGGTGAGGTGGGAAGAAAAGGAACAGGTGGAGATCCAAATTGATATGGTGTCAATCAAGATCTTGGGAACACCATTTGGTACGGCCGAATTTGTATTGACATTTGGGTCCAAACTGGCAGCTAAGAGGGCGAAGCTACTTACCTACATTGCTAAGCGCCCCTCCTTACAGACAGGATGGCTCCTTTTATACTATTGCGCCGCACCTCGGTTGAACCATCTATTACGGACAATGCCCCCGGCTCATGTGTTACCCTTGGCGGCTGAACACGACGCGTCTATAGTGGATACGTTCCGTACGCTATTTCAACTTCCATCGGATACATCTTGGGATCGTACTTTACATGGCGTGGACTACGACACGTGGATTCTGCAGGCGTGCCTTCCAGTGCGACTCTCAGGGATGGGTTTGCGCAGCGTTCAACGGACGTCCAACGCCGCATATTGGGCTAGCTGGGCAGACGTACTACCTACTCTGATGGACAAATTCCCTATACACGGCCGGGACATTCTACAACAATTGAATACGCGGGGCGCTAGGAACCACATTGACCTCGCATGTCTGGATGCCGCTGAATGCGCAGGAGCACATTGCGACGAAACCGGATGGACTGCACGACCATCGTGGATTGATTTGGCGGCCGGTGCACGCCCACCAGAGCCAGCCCAACATGACCATGTCTTAGGGGAGTGGGCCCACGGATGGCAATTCCATGCATCGAATGCGCATGAAAAACAAACTCTATCACAACTCTTGCGACGGCTTGCTTTACCAAGTACGCGGGCGAACGCTGCATCTGCAGGGAAATCCAGATTGTTCTCGTGTGGCGGACCGTTTGCAGCAATATGGTTGTTAGTTTGCCCTACAACGACGGCTTTGTCTTTCAACAACATGGAACTGCAATGCGCGGTGCGCCGGAGACTCGGAATCGCTATGTCTCATGATGGGCCGGACCCTCACGGCCATGCACTCTTAGCCTCAACCACAGGGGGGCGCACGCACGGACGACACAAAGAATTGGTTGCCGCATGGAGGCAAGTTTTTACCGAAGCTGGGGGTTGTATTCCTGACAGGAACGTGGAGCGCCTCCTGCACCAAACCCATTTGCCAGTTCCGCAAGAGGACTACCGCCGCATGGACTTGGTCGTCCCATGTTTGAATGTCGCGTAAGGTTTGCCTTTATTTTGTGATGTCACAATTGTCTCCCCGATCTCTGGGAATGGTGCGCCCAGGCCGGGGACAAATAACACTGGAGGCCGCCTACTTACGTTAGCACAACAGGAGAACGACAACACATATGCAGTGGTTACGAGCCCCCCCATGCTCTGGACGTTCCTTGTCCAGAAGCACCCCTTGACTTGATTCTCAGGGGTGCTCTGGAGGCCGCGGGGGCCTCCTTGTGAATCCTGGGGGCCTTGGGCCAGGGTCGCTGACCTTTTTGGTGCAGGCTCACGGGTTCTCCCCGATCGCTGAGTGAGATTGTACCGTGCCCGTTTCGGGCGTCCAAACGACGGGTTGGAAGAGGACGCGCAGCTGGCCCTCGGGGGGGTGAATCACAATGGCCATGCCCCGGCGCCGGGTCCGCCGTGTTTTGGTTGATCGTCCGACGTAAGATCGCGTCGGAAATGCGGCCCACATGGTACGAACAAGGAGGGGCGGGAATCTCCGCTTCGGAAGAGCAGGGCTGACATTTCCGCACACGCATGGCGGAAACATCGACAGAGAGGTAGGGAGGAAATCGATACCAAAGGAGCTTCAAAAGTAGGGTGCAAATTTACGCCCTGTCGTCGAAATCGCCAAAGTACGGCGTACCCGGAGTTAGGGGCAACACGACGACCATGATCAAGATGTGGCGGAATTCTGCCGACACCGATCTCGGTCATGGTTCATGCTGGCAGTCGCCGACTCGCGGGGATGCTCTTCCAATCCTTGAGACTTGCGCGTTGCAAGTTTTCTACACCAGGCGTTTTTCGCCCAGTTTCGGGCCCCAAAACCTTTACAGGTCGGTTCGGTTCGCGGAATGCCGCCAAAAAATAGGGTCTAGGGCGCCAGTCGTGACGGTTCGCGACGCTGCATTTGTTCCGCAATTTCGGATCCCAGGGAGTGGCGATGGCCAAGATTCCACCGTGCGCAGAAGGGGTGGGGGAGGGGTGAAGGTTTCTTAGGTGCACCCCTGCTTCTTCGAAGGCGCGGGCTTTCTGTACACATGTAGTGCCGGCGCCTTCTTCGAAACAGCCTCCTTATAAGAAGCCTTCCCCTTTCATACCCCCTTGTTCGCGCCGCCAAGAGATCCTGGCGTCTAATTTGTTTCAAGCCGGGTGTTGTCGCCCAATTTCGGGCCCTGGGGCAATCACAGATTGCTCCGGTTCGAAAAATTAAGCAGAAGCATGGGATCCGGGGTTCCAGTCGTGATTTTTCACGACGCCTATATTTTTTCGCGCTGGCGGATCTCCAGATTCCAGGATCCCCACACCCAGACATGCCCGCGTCGTGGCAAGAATCAGGACGGGCGGTGTTTGGCCGTTTTCGGCCCTACAGGGGTCCTCGCTGGGCCCCGGGACCGCCGAGAAACGATTCGGGACGAAAAACCGGCCCCGGGCAAACGGTTGGGAGTTGCGGGGACTGCGCATTGAAAATATCAGCACGTCGCATGTTTGGGAACGGTGTGGTGACCACATCGCGTTATGAGCCAGTGGGGGTTCGGGGTCACCGCGTGGTTTTGGGACTCGGTTCGTTCTCCGAGGTTGTCTCGGACGACTGGGGCCTCCAGGGCCACAAGACCGTGTAGTGACGGACCGCGCGGTGAGGTCGTTGGGGAATCCGAGGTCACCATGCGGCCCGTCACCACACGGCTTTAGGAACACGAAGTTTTGCGAAAAGCAAGTCGGAGGTGTTTCGCCGTTTTCAGCCTTCGGGGGGCCTCGGGGCATCGCTGCGCCCTGGGAGCGTCAAAGCGCGATCCAGGACGCAAAAAACACCAGCGCCCGGAGAAAGGTCCGGAACTCCGGAGACCCCGGGGCAGGGCCGCCTGCACGATCCGATTCGATTCGATTCGCTTCGCCAGCTGGGGCCGCGATTGCGATTCGATTCGACTCCGCTCGCCTCACCAGCATCGGCCGGGGCGGCGATCCGATGAGCGGTTCGTTGACGGCCTGGGGTGACCAGCCTGCCCTGGGGGAAGGGGCGGGGACTCCGCATACCCAGACATCGGGCGCGGTCTTTGAGCGGGAGGGGCGCGATCCTCGAGCGGGCACGCGTGGGTCAAGGGGTTTAGGGCCGCTCGAAGTTTATGCCCTCCGGCGCCCCACGGAAGTCGGAGCGGCGGCGGGTTTTTGCCAGTTGTTTGTCTCGACGGGGGCCCTCGCCGGGCCTCGGGACCGTCAGAAAGCGACTCGGAACGAAAAACTAGCCCTGGGGATGAAGTCCAGACCTCTGGGGCACACGCATCGAAAAAGTTGGAGCAACCGGACGTCTGGGCCTAGGGCTGGTTTTTCGTCCTTGATCGTTTTTGGACGATCCCGAAGCCTGGCGAGGGCCCCTGGAGGCTGAAACTCGCCAAGAACCCGCCGCTCCGATACTCTTTCAGAGCGTCGGATTGCTTGTACCCGTCGAGGGCCCCTGGAGGCTGAAACTCGCCAAGAACCCGCCGCTCCAACACTCTTTCAGAGCGTCGGACTGCCTGTAAGTGCTGGACAGATCAAGGCATCGGAGCTCTGGGAGGAGTTTTCGGCGGAGGGCCAGGGCCTCGTCGCGTCGCCACCTCGACGTGGGGCCTCGGTGTTTTTCTGAGGCCCAGCGTGCTGCCGCCGGCCGGCCCCGCTCTTTTTTGTTTGTTTGTCTCTTGCTCGGTCGGCCCATGACCAGCCCGATGTCCAAGGTTCGAGTAGGGGATCGATCACATCATCGACGTACCCCAAAACGGATTTCCCGTCGAACCTAGGAAAGACAGCCACAATGCTCCGTGGATCTCTTGGCTATTCTGCGTATGTTCCTCATGGGCTCGACGGGAGAATTCATGCTGGGGTCAATCAATTCTATAGTCGATCCCCTGTTCGGAAGATGTGCGCTTAGGAAGCTGCAGTTGCACTCCACCGCCATTCCCCAGGCCCCCTCAGGTCATGAACAAGTCACGGCTGGAGTTTTTTTGTCGTTTTTTGGCCCCCCGGGACCCGCGACAGGTTCCAGGACTGTCGAACAACGACTGGGGATGAGAAGACGGTCTTGAGAAATGGGTCGAGACCTCCAGAGGTCCACGTTGTGAACAATTCGTTTCGTCAGGGGGGTGGGTACCTAGCCAGGGCTACCTGGGGCCTAGGGTGGTGTACTCAGCCTCCTGTTCTCGACCAGTGGGGCATATGCATCATCCCATGGCCCAGGATGGCTCCTGCCAGGGGTGGTGGTTGCGTGCAGCTTCCTTCTGTGGGTATATACCTGTGGCCGTCCGAGCGTCGCCGGTGAAAAGGGGCGCGTCCCCACGGTGCTCCTCGTCCTCCTGCGTCTGCCTAATGCTTCTCTTCCTACCCTCTTCCTCCCCTCTGCTCGTTTGCTCGTTCCTCTCTCTTCCTCGACCTGCTCTTCCTCCCTCCCTCGCCCTCCTGCTCCTCGTCATCGTCCTTCTCCGTCCCCTCGTCTCGTCCCCCCCTTCCTCTCCTCCCCTTCCCCTCCTCCCCCTACCCCTCCCCCTCCTCCCCCCTCCTCCCCCCTCTCCAGGCAGGATCTGGCCCGGCGCGGAGGCGGGGGCTACCCCGCCCGCTCCCCGCCGGGCGGCTGGCCGCTCCTGGCACCTCCCCCGCCCCTCCTCCCGCCCCGCCTCATTGCTGCCCCCCCTCCCGCCCGACGAGCGAAGCGCCCCCTCTCGACTCCACCCCGCGGGAGTGCGCTCCGGCTCTCGCCCGCGCCGCGCGACCGACACCGACAGGAGGAGGAGGAGGAGGAGGAGGAGGAGGACGAGGAGGAGGAGGAGGAGGACGAGGAGGAGGAGGAGGAGGAGGACGAGAACGAGGAGGAGGAGGAGGAGGAGGAGGAGGAGGCTCTGGAGACTCTGGATTACGACGAGGTGTGCCGAGAACGATGCACCAAGCCACAAAAAGAACCTTAGACACGCCGAACACAGCGATCAACACAAACGAAGATTGGAACAGGCCTGTAGAAACCACATCCAACCTTCTCTCCAGAGGGCCCTTTCCCTTGGATGAGGTACCTCCTCTTGAAATGCCTCGGAGAACCCAAGGGCGGCCTACCAAAACACGGCTTAGAAATGAGAAAAGCCCGCGAGACACACCTAGCAGCACATTCTGAACACCAGATCATTGGGCCAGTACGCCAGAGTTTATGGGACGGGTGCGCTTCTCGGAGGAGGAGGAGGAGGAGGAGGAGGAGGAGGAGGAGGAGGAGGAGGCTCCCATGCCCCTGGCCCGCGCCCCGCGGGGTGCCGGGCGCATGGCGGCGGCCTGGCCGCCGCGGCGCCGCGCGGGGCCCGCGGCGGCATGACGGGGCCCGCGGCGGGCGGCGCGGCGCGCGAGCTGCACCTGTACATCTTCGAGCGCGCGCCGCGGGCGCTGCCGCCGTGCGTGCGGCCCGAGGGCCTGGCGCCGCGGAAGCTGCTGCGCGCGGTGAGGCCCTCCTCCTCCTCCTCCTCCTCCTCCTCCTCCTCCTCCTCCTCCTCCTCCTCTCCCTCCTCTCCTCCTCCTCCTCCTCTCCTCCACCTCCTTCTCCTTCTCCTCCTCCTCCTCCTCCTCCTCCTCCTCCTCCTCCTCCTCCTCCTCCTCCTCCTCCTCCTCCTCCTCCTCCTCCTCCTCCTCCTCCTCCCTCGTCGCCACGGCTGGATTCGCCTCGGAGCCCTCGCCGAGATGGCCGTGGAGTGGCGGCATCGGTGCCCCTCGTTCACGCCCTCAGAGGCGCGCGGCGGCGCACCCGTGGCGCGATGCGCGCTTCTGGCGGGCCGCGGCAGCAGGCGTCGCGGCGGTGCCGCTGGGGCAGATGGCCGGCCGCGACTTGGCGCAGGCCTTGCAAGGGGGGCGAACTGAGACAGTGGTGGTTGGCCTTCGGGGGGGCCGTGGGGAGGGAAGGAGGGAGGGAGGGAGGGAGGAGGAGGAGGAGGAGGAGGATCGGTCTCCCTCCAAGCTCCCTCTTCATAGGCCCCATACAAGGGTTCACTGAGGGAATTGCCTCATTGGGGGACAGCCGAGTGAAAATCCTGAAGCGTGCCAAAACACCACTCTCAGGACTACAACGCCACGAATTACCCTGAATGTTACGCCTTGGCGATCCTGAATCGCGCCAGAACGCCATTCCTGGGACTGCAACACCGCGAATCAACGTAACTGCTGCGCCCTGACAATCCTGAATCGCTCCAGAAAGCCATTTCTGGCACGCTAACCATGAGAATCAGTGAAAGACCTGCGATGTTGAAACCGATGCGCGCGGAGCTCAGGCGAGAGCCACATGTTTCGCAATCCAGAAAGCACATTTCTGGCACTGCTAACCATGAGAATCAGTGAAAGACCTGCGATGTTGAAACCGATGCGCGCGGAGCTCAGGCGAGAGCCACATGTTTAAAAGGAACCGCCCTCAATCCGTGAAGCTCTCGAAAATGTGTTAAACACATGTTCTCGGCGCTAAGGCGAGAGCCACAATGTGAAAACGTCCTGTCCTCAATCCGTGAAACTAGCGATGCAATTGTTTACAAGGGTGTGCGCGGAGCTAAGGCGAGAGCCACTTGTTGAAAACCACTCGCCCTCTATCTGTGAAATAGTTGCGGATTTCCAGCTTCAGGATCATACATGGTGACGACGTCTCAGGCAACACGCCCAGCCCGCCCTTTCGACCGTCCTCGGGGTGCGACAGGGGGAAGTTATCTAAGCTATAAGGAAGAGGTGGTGGAGGAGGAGGAGGAAGAGGAGGAGGAGGAGGAGGGAGCGAGGGAGCGAGGGAGGGAGGGAGGGAGGAGGAGGGAGTAGGAGGGAGGGTGGAGGAGGATGAGGAGAAGGAGGATGAGAGGAGGAGGGGGGCCGTGGGGGGAGGGGGTAGAGGAGGAGAGGAGGAGGAGGAGGAGAGGAGGAGGAGGAGGGGAGGGGGGGGATGAGGAGTAGGGAGGGAGGGGAGGGAGGGGAGGAGAGGAGAGGAGAGGACGAGGCGGAGGAGCAGGGGGAGGAGGAGGTGAGGAGGAGGAGGAGAAGGAGGAGGAGGAGGAGGAAAAGGAGTTGAAGGAGGAGGAGGAGGAGGAGCAGGAGGAGGAAGAGGAGGAGGAGTTTGAGGAGGAGGAGGAGAAGGAGGAGGAGGGAGACAGCGGTTGCTGGCCTTGGTGGCGGCCCCCTGGTCAAAGGTCGCCACGAGGGCGCCTCGTTGTTCGTGGTCTGCGGTTCGTGGTTCGCGACTCTTGATCCTCGCGACTCCTCGCTCGGCCTTCTCTGCTCCCCGGAGGGGCGGCGCGAGATCGCGAAGTTCTTCGTGATTCGCGCTTCGAACATAGCTTTAAGTCGGGCGTGTCCCCCTACAGGAGGAATATTCAAGAATAGTTTTAAACATAGTCTGGGGACTATTTTTGGGGCATTTTTTCACCATTCTGGAGCATTTTCGGAGTATTTTTATTTTTCGTCGAAAATCCCCCTGTAGGGGGACAGGCCCGACTTAAACATAGCTGCCCTTGGCCTCGTCGCCACGGCTGGACGCCGCTCGGAAAACTGATGCGTTCGGACCCCGGGAGGGCTCCAGGGGCCGACTTCGAATTGAGGCTTGCATGGCGTTCCGGCGGGTCGAGTTCACGAGCCCCGTGCTGACCGCGTACTGCGAGCGGTACGTGTCGGAGCGGAGGCAGCTGCTGAACACCATCGAGCTCGCCGCGGTGCTCCTGTACGCGGCCGCAGCGCACGACGGCGGGGGCGCGGGCACTGCGGAGTTCGTGCGCCTGCTGGCGGACGAGGCGTGCAGCGAGGCGAGGCTGTCGGAGAACGTCCCGTGGTCGGCGTGGCGCATGCTGGTCTCGGGCGCGGCGCGCGCGGGGGTGGCGCACCAGCGGCTCTTCGCCGCGGCGTCCCCGCACCTGGCGCGGGGCGCGCCGCAGATGAGCGGTAGGGACGCCGTGGACGTGTGCGCCGCCTACGCCGCTTTCCGCTTCAAGCACCACGGGCTGCTTGCTGAGTTGGCCCGGTTCTTCTCCTCCTCCTCCTCCTCCTCCTCCTCCTCCTCCTCCTCCTCTTCCTCCTCGTTTTCTTCCTTTCTCCTCCCTCCTCCTCCCTCCTCTCTCCTCCCTCGTCCCTCCTCCATCCCTCCACCCTTTTCCCTCCTCCTCTTCCGTGGCCATTTTTCCTCAAGGCTGCCATGTGGGCTCCGTGCCCCATTCCCACATGGGCGAGGGGTTGGCCGCGTTTCCATGTGGCTCCTGGCGCCAGCAACCCGACGCGCGGGCGTTGGTGCACAGTCATTCCGTCCGAGCGCCAAACGTAGCGCTCGCCTGCTGGGCATCGGCACGAGCGGCGCAGGCGCAAGGTGACCCATGACCTCCTCGGCTGCGCTCGGGCACGCCGGCTCCTCTCGCGGCACCACGGCGAGCACCTGAGCGCGGTTGCAGGAACCACGGCGTCAGGCGCCGCTCCGCCGTCAGGTGCGCCGTGGCGGCAGGCCGCCGCCGCAGGAGGTGGAGGAGGCGAGCAAGCTGGGTCGCCTCCCCCTCGGGCGCCGACGCCACGCGGCCTCCCTCGGCATCGGCGGGGCGCCCTCGTCGGACAGCTGCTGGAAGGTGTTGTTCCTGGTGTTGTTGGTGGTGCTGCGTTTCCTGGGGGCGGACCTGCCGAGAGCCCTGCGGCGGTGCGAGCTCGGAGGGGGGGGCCCAGCGGCTGTGCGACCTCTGGAGCTCCAGCAGCGTAAGCACGGCGAGTACCATCCGCTCGTCGCCGCCGCTCGCGATCTGGCAGTCCTGGAGGCCGAGTAGCGCAGGCCGCAGCCCCCGCATGAGGTTCTCCGCGCGCTGCAGGCCCACCTCGCCGATGCTCAGGCCGACAAGGCGAAGGTCGACGCGAACCTCAGCGAGGCGTTGGCTGCGGTGGACACCCTCCTCAAACGCCAGCAGCTCTTGACGACAGAACTTGTGGGCCTCAAACAGGATGTGGTTGCAGCTCGGCGTGAGCTCGGCGCTAGCTGGCGGCATCGGCGACTGCTGAAGGAGTGGACTTGGCTGGCATGGCCAACTCCTTGGTCGGTCTGCAGGCTCTTCAGCGGCGCGCACGAGTCCGTGGACAACGGCAGTGGTCAGGTCGTGGCGATGGGCGCGGCAATCGGGTCGCGGCGATGGGCGCGGTGACCAGGTCGTGCAGCCGCTGGAGTCCATCGACACTCAGGTCCCGGCGACGGGCGCAGCCTTCCCCGCCGCTCGGGTGCTCATGGCGCCAGCCGCGACGCCGAGGTACCCTGGTGCCAGGTGCTCCTGACGCCGCGGCCCTTGCGGCCACTCCCGCGGGCCCTCCAGCAGCGCCGGCTACGGTGGCTCCAGCGTTTGCCGCCGGCGGCGTGGGGCCCCAGCCGCTGTTCGCCCCCCAGCCCCAGCCGTTGCCGCCGCGGCTGCCGCCGCCCAGTGGGAGGTCGTGCGCGCGGAAGGGCACCCCGACGGGCAGGCCGACGCGTGGGACTCGCCACGTCGAATGGCTCGCCATGGTGCTCGCGCGGGGATTTCCACGAGACGCGCCCGGTTCGCATCGAGGCTGTTGCAGCAGAGGAGCTCTGCATCCACGGGGATGCAGTGCGACGCGCTCAGGGGCGGGCCGCTCGCAACGATGGGCGCCCCATTATTTCTTCTCCACTGCGCCTGGAGTCTGGGCGCGCTTCGGCGGGCGTTGGGCTCTTCGTCGGGCGCCGCGGTTTTATTTCAACTTTGCCAGGCTGCGCAGCTACGCCTGCTTCATTGACCGTGGCGCCTCATTGCCGCGTCGCCTGCCGCGCGGGCGTCGGCGCCGAGAAGGCGCGCCGTTGCCTCGGGCTCACTTCGAGGTTGACAGGTGGCCAGCTGCAGGCAACAACGTCAACCGATTTTGCGATCGCCCGTTGGCCTTGCGAGGCTGGAACGGACCCTTCATCGCGGCTGCCCGCTCCAACGTAGACCCCCCGTCCACCATGGGCGCCGACGGGTTCCTGGAGCGCGCCCCCGCCAAGGCCGCGGCGCGACCTCGCGGGGCATTGGCACCTGTCGCTGCGCAAAGGGAACTTCTCCAACGTTGACTACTGGATGGCGAGCCTCTCCCCTGCGGCGTCGTTGCGCGATCCGAGACCTGTTCCTGGTTGGCCGGCTTCGCCCTGCCACCCCGCGGGCGTCGCCGTCTCGGCCCGGGCCGAAACAGTCGGGATCCTCGCGCCGTCTGGCCCTGAGGCCTTTCCCAAGAAGGCCCTTGCAGAGGACGCGGCCTCCCCGCGGCCATCGACCATCTTGATTTCATCGCTGGGGGCTCGGCCTCGGGCGGCGATGCCTCTGCAGCGCAGGCCCAGCGTCGATTTGATGATTTGCGTTGGATGAGATCGAGGCTGAGCCGTTGGAACTCCACGGCGCGCAGACGGATGGCGACGCGCAGCGCGGCGCGGGTCGGATGGATGAGGCGGGCTGCAAGTGGCGTCGAACAGGTGGTCTGCCCTCCGGCGCGAAGCCTGTTGCAGTGCCCAATGCTCGTCGGGCTTGTCAGCTGGCTCAGGCGCTGACGGACCTCCTGCGGCCTCTTGGCAGCGGCGGCGCCGCCGCCGCGCCTGTCGACGCCCTTCGAGCTGGCCCGCTGCGTCGCGCGGCGCGATTTGTCGGCGCGCGCGCGCGGGGCGGCGTTGCCCCCCCCCCCCCCCATCCCAAGGCGCCGACGCGCGCTTCGGCTTCCGTGCCGACATCTCCCGGTCACCGACGGGCTGCCCCCAGTCAGCGACGCGGACTTCGAGGCCGCTGCTTCCAGCGGGCCGCCCAATGCGACGCTTGGCTGCATCTTGCGTTCCGGGCCGCCCAGTGCGACGATTGGCCGCTTCTCCGCGCTGTCGACGTCGCGTGGGGGCCCAGGGCCCGACGCTGCTCCGCGGCGCGCGCCCCCCGCGAGCGGCCGCCCCCAGGGCGGGGGCGGCGCGGGATTGGCCGGCCCCGCGCCGCGGAATCGAAGGAGGTCCCGCGGCGCCGCCCACTGGCGCAAGAAGGGAAATGAGCGGGCGCGGCAGCGCGAGCGCCCCCCCGCGCAAGCGCCGAGCTCCGACGCGGCGCGCGCGGGCTGAGCGGGCTCTCGAGCGAGCTCTGTCACGGGCGCCGAAGCCGACGACGCCCCGCTGCGGGCTTCGCCCAGGGCGTCACGCGCTGCTTTTCCGCGATCCCTGTGCGCCCGGGACAGAGGCCGGCTCGCGGGTCGGGGCACCCCCCCTTTCCGCCTGAATGGAGAGATCGCGCAGCTCGTCGGAGCGAATTCAGCGTCGTTCGCGAGTGGCGATGCGCGGCATGACCCCGATTGATCCCGGCGTCGAGCTGTCGGGCAGATGCGTTGCTTGTTGCGACGCCGCGCGTGCCGCGTTGAACTGGCTCGGGGCGTTCGCGCCGGGCCCGGTGGTCGCGACGGTCGCGGCGCGGCGGATGTCCGTCGAGGATTTGGACGATCGATGCCGGGGGGGGGCGGGATGAAGCCTCGGGGAGGCCCTCGCTCGCATGTGAAGCGCTAGGGCCTGGTGGCCACGATTGCCCAGCATGCGGCCGACGACCAGATGGGCTCCCGGGCGCGCCAAGCCCGCCCAAGGCCAGATGGAGGAGCAGGAACACGGCGAAGACAAGTACCAGGTGCACCACTCCGCCGACGAAAAAGGCGCGACCCCAAAAAATAAGCTTCTGATCCCGCCGTGGCCGACGACCCAGGGAATGTCAGCGAGGCTTTGTAGAGCCCCCCAGGGCCCACTAGCCTGCGCCGCGGATTGACGAGGCGCGCGAGGCTGCCAATGGCCTCAAGTGGCACGCGGGCCAGGGGGCTGACAAGATAGCCACCCGCTCGATCAGCCTCCTCGGCGACGCCACCCCCTCGCTGCTGATCTACATCCCGTGGCTGACCGAGCGCTGGAGGAGGTGGCTGGCGCGGGCCCCCACGGGGGAGCGCGTCGTCCTGCTTGCGAGAGGCGCGGGAGGCCGACGCCGCATCGCGCTCCTCCAGGCCACCAACCGCGCGCGGTGGCAGGTCCGAGGGCAGCAACTTCGGGACTGTCTCCTGCTCGCCCGCGGCCCTGCCTCGCCCCGGCCGCGGGCGAGACCACCTCGGGCGCTGCCCTCGCGGGCTTTCGTCGCAGCGGAGGCCGCCGTGAGCGACGGCAGCGGCGCTGTCGCGGCCATTGTAGACATTGCAAAGTGGTTCGGCCGCATCTGCCGGTCGCGGCTGATCGCCGCTGCACGCGAACGCGCCGCGCCAACTGCAGGCCCGCGCGCGGGCCATTTTGTGTGCGCCGAGCCGACTGGCGCGGTTGCAGGCGACCTTATACGCGGTCATTGCGGACCAAGGTGTGTCTTACCCAGGTGCAAGTTCTCCATGGCCCTCGCCCAGCTTCTCATGATTTCGTCCGTGGACTCTTCTGTCGTCCACGCGTCGGCCATCGCCCCGTCCTTGGACATCGTCTCGGATGATCTGATCTAGCAGATCACGGCCCAGTTGCGGATGCTCCAGCAGCTCTCGGCCGACCAGATCAAGCTCCTCTGCAATGCCCTGGTGGACCTGGGCCTGCCAGTCGCGAGGTCGAAGGCCAAATTCATTGCGTCTGGAGCGGATGCGCCCAGAATTGCTGGTCGGTTGCGTCGGCGCGGCGCTCGAGCGCAATATTGGCTGGGCGCGGCGGGCCTGGAGGTCACTGCTGGCAGGCCCATCGGCCACCGCGCCCACAGGCGCAGGGCGAAGTCCATGCGACGACGACAGCAGCATTCCTAGCGCCTGAATGCTCCTGGATCTAAGTTGGGCAAGGTGGTTCCTGCTGCGATTTTGACCATAGTGACTTACGGCTTGAACATCATGGGAGCTGCCCCGCGTCTTTCAGCACGCGTGACTACCGTGTTTAAGCGCGGGCGGGGCCCCATGCCGTCTGGCACCTCGCACCGGATTGCGCCCCAGTTGAATCTTGGCCGCCGCGAACAGCCCCTTGCCCGCGAGTGGTCGCGCTTGCTTCATGCCCAGGAGGTACCTCATGATGTTGTGCAGCAGGCATGGACGGTGCAGCGCCTCAAGGTTGCCATGGTGAACGCCTCGTCCAACTAGAAGTTTGTTGCGGGACCTGCTGGCGCCCTGGCCAGGTCGATGCAGCCTTTGGGTTAGACATGCTCGCCGACTTTCGCGGCGCGCACGCGGGCGGGCCAAGTCCGGGCGCGAGGTGGCCCCGCCTGCGGGGGAGCGGCTGGTCGGCCGCGGACGCTGGGCCCAACGGCCCGAGGTCGTGCCTGAGAACCCATGGCCGCCCCGCGGGAACCTTGCTGGCATCTGGGCTGGGCCTATCCTCGCAATGCTGCAGGCCGGCAAGAAGGCGAAGCGATGGGTGCTCGAGCCGCTGGCATGCGCTGCCCTCAGGACTCGAGACGGCTGCGCTTGTGGCCCACTTCTCGCATCAGAGGCTTCATCAGTTTGATGCGGACAGCCCTTTCCGCCTGCGTTGCTGGCGCGCCCCCTGGCACGTTGTCTCATCGTTCTTAGTGCTGTCCACAGTCTGGCGATCTTCGCGCGCGCGCGGTGGATGCCGACCGAGCGGCGCCTAGCGACCCGCCGTTCTCAGGGGGCTTGTGTCCGCGATCGGCGATCCCAGTCCTGCCGCCGTGGAGCGATGCGGGCATCTGGCATTGCGATCGGTCGCCCAACCTGGTGGCGCGATCTTTACCGACTGTTCTCGCGTGAAGTTCCCCCGCTGGAGCGCGATTGCTCGGACGGGCCGGGGCCCCGCGGTCGGCGGCCGCATTCGTGGCTCGGCGCGCGGGCCCTTGCTTGGCCCGCGCCAGACCTCGCCTCGAGCGGAGTTGCATACTTTACTGCAGGCATTGGTGGTCGGCGTCGCCCCGCTCCGCGCCTGCGCTAACTTCCTGCCGCTGCTAGAGGGGCCGCGGAGAGCGCGACGGCGGCGCACTCCTCTTCTGCGCGATGACGTGGACCTGTGAGGACAGCCCGGGCACTGCACCGATGAACATCGCGGCACGGCAGCCGTTGGTGGTAGAGACCCACCTGCGCGCATCACCGACGGCCAGGCTCATCGAACGGAGGTTTCATGGTAGCAGATGGGCAGCGCATGGGCCGACGCAGCGGCCAATGCAGGGCGACGTCTTCACGACCTTCCTGGCGCCATCAGGCATCGGCGCGCCGAGGTTCTCGGTCGCGCCCATCCGGTGGCGGCGTGGATCGGGCACCTGCCCCAGCAGATCTTCCAGGGCGGCCTCCAGGAAAATCGCGTCGAACCCCCGGGGACGCGGGGGAAGGCGCAGCGGCGCAGGTGGGGGGGGGGGCGCCGACGGCCCGCGGCCGCTCTTTGCCGCCGCCTCCGCCCGCGCACCGCCTCCGCCGCGTGGCCCGCCCGTGGCCTCCGACCTGGCCGGGCGTCCTGGCCCCTGCGGGGTGCTCCTCGAGCTGGCCGAGGTCGGCGCGCCGCTCGCCAGAGCAGAGCGAGGCAAGCTCGAGCCCGAGCCTCCCTCGCCCCGTCCCCCTCCACCGGGCCCGTCGCCCTGGAGGAGCGGCCCGGCTCGGCCCAGGTGGCTTGGCATCGCTCGGGCGTGTGCGCTTTTTCTCGGCGAGCCCGACCATCGCCCTGGAGGAGCGGCCCGGCTCGGCCCAGGTGGCTTGGCATCGCTCGGGCGTGTGCGCTTTTTCTCGGCGAGGACCATCAAGGACCGTCCCAGACCATCGAGCAACAAAAAAACGCACGATCGAGCACAAAAAAAAAACACGAAACCGAAAAAATGCGCGGGAAATGGGCGTCCGAGCGACGGCAAGGTGGAGGGGCGGCGGGGCGAGGTTGCCGGGGGCCCGCGGCCCAGGGTGCCCCGCACCCTGGCCCCCGGCGCGCCCGGGCCGCCCGCGCGGCCTGGAGGGCCCAAAGGGGGGGGGGGGGGGGGGGCGCGCACCCCAAAGAGGAAAGGGCCCTTGGGGGCCCGGCCAGCAGGGGGGGGAGTGGTGCGAGGGGCGCCCTTCCCCCGACACTCCACTGGCCCAACCGGGGCCCCGTAGGCTCCGAAAGTGCCGCAACACGAACGCAACAACACAGCGAACTGCCGATGGATCAGGCTGCAACACAGACTAAATGGTCGAGAGACATTGAGGCGCCTATGTTCCACAGTTGCAGACTTGCTATTTCGTATCGAGGTTACGGCCTCCACCGACTTGCATTGATGGGCGGCGCGCACGACGCTAACGAGGCGCACGCGGGTATCGGATGGATCCGGCGTTAGCCAGATGTGGGATGATTCGCCGCTCCTCCGCCTCCTCCTCCTCCTCCTCCTCCTCCTCCTCGTCGTCGTCGTCCTCGTCCTCTCGTCCTCACCCCCTTCCTCTACTCATCCCGCCCTTTTTCCTCTTCCCCTCCTCCTCCTCCTACTCCTCTCATCCTCCTCCTCTCCTCCTCCTCCTCCTCCTCCTCCTCCTCCTCCTCCTCCTCCCCCCCCCCCATGTTCCCCCTTCTGCATCACTTCCTTCTTTGGATAACTCCGCCCCGTCGCGCCCCCCCGCGTGTCGGCAGGGCGGGCCGGGCGTTTCGCTTGAGACGTCGAACGGCGCCACTTACTCTTGAAGCTTGACATTCGCGATCGCTCCAAGGATGAAGGGCGCTTATTTGTCGAAAGGGGGCTCTCGCATCGTAGCATCGCGCACTGGTCTTCCAATGTTGCAGCATTCTCTCAAAGATGGAGGGCGGGCCGTTTTCAAGATGGGGCTCTCGCCGTAGCGCCGCGCGCATTCGTTCGAACAGTGTACAGGAACTTCGGGGAGGGAGGGCGATTCTTGTTCAAAGTGATAATTTCGCCGCGCTGATGAAGAGCGGTATAGTTTCAAATTGTTGCCGTCGTTTGAGATATCTGTAATTCAAGGACGAGGAAATTAAACATACAGTACAGCTGCTCGGATGGAGGGCGGTTCGTTGTTAAAAATGGGGGTTTCGCTTTAGATTCCCTCGAAGCCATGGCCGGAAGAGGAAACTTGAGAAAGAGGTACACAGAGGGGGCGGTCCTTTTTTCAAAACGGAGATCTCGCGGGATTGTTCGCTGAACTGTATGACCATATTATTTGTCT